CCGTTAGTTCAACATTTAGATCTGATCGACGTGATTGCTCTAGATCATCTTGTTTATGATTGTAGAGTTTTCGAATTACAGCTCTTTTTGTTTGGAGTAACGGCCGTAACGGTGTAATGTAAATTCTGATAATTAAAGTTAAAAATTCTGATAATTATATAATTATAAATTCTGATAATTCAATAGCACTTTTTTTGATTGATAATTTAAGTACATCTTTCTTATATTATAGATATATTATTATCATGTTTATACACGAAATAAGTTTGTTTACGGAATAATATTAATTAAAATTAATAAATAATTCATTTTACTTTAGCTTGGTTAAGCTTTTAGATATAGACAACAAGATACTTTTTTTAGATTAGTTAGCCTCAAATCAGTGATTTACTACAGAAAACTACGAATATTATTAAAAGTAGTAAATAAATGGCACCATTATAAAAACTGAAAATATAAATATTTCAAAAAAATAGATTTATTGTTATAATTGTATGCTAACCAGTATTATGAAACTCAACAGATCGGGTCTAAAATTAGATATCTAGACTAAAAGTCATTTAAATAATATCTTGTTTAACTTAATATCAATGTACTCGTATTTATTTCAATTCTCCATGTCAGGTGGCAGTCAAGCGAATAATGACATCTCAATAGTAGCAAGTAATTATATGGTGACACGTCCGTCTTATTAGCCTTGCTTATTTTTAAATTCCATACTAAAATTATACATAAATGTGAAAGTGTGTTTGTTTGTTTGTTTGTTTGTTTGTTTGTTTGTTTGTTTGTTTGTTTGTCTTTCTTTCACGTTGAAATGGACTGACGGATTGACGTGATTTTTTGTGTGTAGATAGTTGGAGGGCTGGAGAGTGACATAGGCTACTTTATACCGCGTGAGATAATCTCATTCCCTCGGGAACGTTATAATACAACCCAAAAATTATGTATAATCAGAATCACGTGAAAGTTGGGATTAATACTCTTCAATACAATTAAATAAATACATGTTTTAGCATTTTTCAAAATTCATGACATAAGGGGATAAAATAGCGGATGAAAGTTTGTATGAAACCTACTTTTTTAGAGATTTTCTGTAGTTTTAGCACGAGCGAAGCCGCGGGTTCTGCTAGTTTAAAATAAAATACATATAACATCAACCATTAATTATTATTTTAATTCACGTAAATACCAAATAGTTAATTATTTTTAGTTAGTTATTACGCATAAAGCAAACCGATATATTTAAATATCCCTATAAAGTAATTATACTTAACAAATGTTCACCCAGTGGTCGAAATCCGACCATTATTGAAAATCGTTTTTGAAAATTTAAGGAGAATGAAAAAAACATATATGAATAGAATGTACTTATATATTTGTAAAAAACCTGTTTCCTATATTTTTAATTGATAACACTCATCAAAAGCTACTAAACGGAGACATTGAGGTACATTACACCAAATTCTTTTAAATTAATAGTATCATATTACGTACAACAAATGCGCAACAACATACAAAAATTTTGCGTAACATTTTTTTTATGTAACCCAGGAAAATAAACTAAGTACATTTAACCCCTATCTGTTTTATTTACATTTTGCATGTCAGTATAGAGCGCGGCCGGCATATGCGCAAGCGCACAATTATGTCTCACCGGACCGCCCGCGACAGGTGGGCGGGGCGGTGTGACACTGACGTCAGATGGGTCGCCACGTCATAAATTAATATCCGACCACACATACTCTATATTTAATAACATGTTTATATTAGTAATAGTTTGAAATATAACTTATTTATGCTTATACTCGTACTACAAAGAGGTAAAGTTTGTAAGTTTATATGTAGGGGGTAATCTCTGTAACTACTGATCCGATTCTGAAAATTCTTTCCATAATAGGAAATTATATTACCACTGAAAGGTATAAGCTATTTTTTCGGTAAAAGTATGTTTGTTTTCAGAAATCATTATAACCTTAATCGAAGAAGGATAAAAATTGGCTGTTGAATTTATATATAATATTAAATCTTTCATACGCGTGCGCTGCCTAAATAGTTTCAAATCTATACATATAATAAAATTGTAATTAGGTCAATCTGTTCATTAAATATTTTTTGGAAAATGTTATTGAAATAAACAATAAACTGCAATGTAAGAATATACTAATATGTAAAGCCTTAGAATTTGGTTTTTGGTCATTTGAACGGGGGCGGAGCCGAGGGCAATGCTAGTAAAGCAATAAAATGAATGGTAAAAAGACGGCCACACATACGAGCGAAGTGAGGGTAAGTCACTAGTAATTAGTAAAGTTCCATAAAATATAATTTATGTAAAATGTAAATTATAAAAGAAGATAAAATTTTTTAAGTGCAATAAAAAATAGTAATAAAATAATACCAAGGAATACGTACGTACGTACCTATTCAGAATATATATATATATATATATATATATATATATATATATATATATATATATTTAGAAATGTGTAATCATTTCTAATAAAATATTATAATTTAACCGATCGAAAATATTAACATATCGAATTAACAGAAATTGATTTAAAATAAATTAATAGAATATTTTTTTTAATAAACTTTACAGCTCTACGTATTTTCAAAAACAAAAGTGTAGAAAATTTTCTTTGGCCTGAGAACTACGATTTAATTAAAGTTAATAGCGCTGACCTAGGTTAATTGAAATTGTTTAATATGCAGAAAACAAAGAGAATTTATAACAATTTTATTAGCCCTGTCCGAGTAAAATATCTTAAAGCTACAAACCAGTAATTACAGTGGATTTACTAGAAATAGGGCTTTAGTAAATAAACCACGTAGATTGTTTTGTCAGACAACATTCTGCGTTATATTTATATTTTTGATAGTCATCCTGCTTAAACTATAATTAAACATCCATTGCCTAAAGCATTTAACTTGGTGTACTGTTAGCCAGTGAAATAGAAATTGAAAATTATACTGCATTATAATCGTTGAATTATTATATTTTAAGATAGTGCAAGGTTTAATTTACATATTATCTCGTAGGTATGTCTCGCCGTCACACTCTTTACCTATGAAATTGCCTCGATACTTTATTCGCCGTTCATTAACATTGTGTAATATTTGTGATATATACATCAACGTAATACATTTGTATTACAGCTTAATGTAAGAGTATATACGAGTAGAATTCATAATGGCCAGACCTGGAAAAAGTGATATTCTTACAAAATTGTTTCCTCCATGCAGAAATCAAACCTGCGATTTCATGCAACAGATTCCTCTTTCGCAATGCAATTGATTGTAATATTATATATGCACATTGCACATGCAAATACAAATAAGCTCTATATACTAATTTTTTACTCAGTATTATTAGACATTTAAATAGATAGTTAAGTATATTTATTAGTTTAATCAAATATTTTCTAGAAAATACATTCAGCAATACTACGCTTTAAACTATTAAAAATGTCAAAATATTTAATTTTAACTATACAATGAAAAACAATGAAGAATGATAATTGCGGAAACCGAGCAAGAGTTTGCCGCCGCAAAGTTGAAACAAACGCTTTTATTTTTTAAGAGGCGTATACTTAGAGAGATTGCGTCGACATTTTCATCAGTGTGCCGACCGCAGAGTATTATTTTAATCGTGGACTGGCACCTCTGTGTTTGTCTATTTTTGAGGTCTTTATAGTGCAACGAGCACGTTACGGCCACGATTCGGTTATTCCACGATCTTCAAATATTTCTGCTTTTTATTTTGCTAGTAAACGGACAATGCAAGGCAGCGAACTTAGCTTCAAAAAGGTCCAAGAAAATTCCTAACATTCACAACTGTCAGAACTAGTCTGTCATATTATACATATTTATTTATTTATTATATAGGAAGCCGACATAGTATACAGTGCTTTTAATGTTTTATACATAATAATTTCTTATAAAATATTTTTTTTACACTATACACCACACTTATAGACTAACTTAACATGCGTAAACTAGCTAGCTGTTCCGAAACTTATACTACATATCTATCCTATGAAAAATAAAATACTTAATAAAAGTGTAAAGTTAAAAAAAGTAAAGTTAAACAAACAATAAACAACTAAAAAAAAACATGCATAAAAAATTACAAAAAAAATATATACTTAAAAAAATGTGTAGGTTTCAAATTTAAATGGTATAAAAAGTTATTGCCAAAAAAACATCCAAAAATTATAAAAACTACAACTAAAAATATAATAAATAAAACAAAATATTTAAAACAGTGTAAAACAATTTTTTTAAATGTTCCAAAATTAAAACTATTTGGTAAGAGGTATAAGTAAACAGCTGATATAAAAATATGGGTAAAATTGATTAAAATTGTATAGTATAGAAATATAATAACATTAAGTGGTATAATTTGAGTTTAAACTTAAAAAATGCATTTTAACTTTTCTTTTGAATGCTTTCCCAGAATACTTAAAAATGTCAATGTCAGCTTTTTCTTTTGAGATAGTATTGTATAGTTGTATGATTCTATTTAAAGGTGCATTACGGCCTACATATCTCTAACATACGTTTACAAATTCATTACAAACATTGTTTCTTGGCAATGGAAACATAAGTGCATCTAAGTTCCGAAGATCATAAATATATTTTTACCGTAAATACAGAAAATACTGGAAAAAAGCTACTTTTTTGTTTACCAATGTAAATACTTCAATTTTAATTTTTTTCTTATTTCGTATCATATTCAGCCTATTTTAACATCCTGGGCATGGGCTTCCCTTCAATACGAGGGTTGGGCGGGCTATAGAAAACTAAGCTCGCCAAGTGTGGGTTGGTGGCTTAAGACGCGTAGTAATCATGTTGGAAAAGATTCGCACATGAATATATTATATATCAGAGGTGCAAGTACCGGGATTTAAACCCACTTGGATTCCCAACCCGGCACGTTGCCACTGGGCTACAACTACCTTCTTCTTATTTATCTCATCTCATTTTTTATTTTACAGGAAGATCTCTTAATTCACGGCGACAGTGTATATGACGTGATAGACAAGCAAGACCAGCAAGCCGTACGGTCTGAGCTATCGCGCGCACCGACCGATGGGGAGGACCGGGTCTTCTTATGCCGGATGAACGTTGCTAGAAATGCCAGACGACAGATGCGGTTTGGTGATCAAAAGGTAAGGGTGATTATGAACAAAATGTTTTCTTTTCACTTATTCTTACACAAGTATAAAAATAAGCAAAATATTAAAAAACTAACAAGAACATTTCTCGTATAGACTCTGTACTGGCTTTTTCTAAGAAAATATTACATTTCCCCTTTATGGGATATATTAACGATAACACAAAGCATACCCATGACCATGGGGTTATAGGTAATTTAAAAAATTTGGTATTATCGTTAAATATAACATTTTTTCTGGTGGAAAATTTTATGCTTATAAACTTAGATTTCTATTAAGATGTTACTCTTATAATAAAAACCATTATAACAAAACCTCATAATTAACATGTCAAAATTATTAATTTACTCTTTAGAATATGACAATTCAATACAAAAAAATTAACTAAGATAAGTAAGATAGGTTTAGCTCTAAAATCATTATCCTATCATACTGGCTGTCTGATAATAAAACAATTAATAAGATGTGATACACTTAAAATTTAGATGCCGTTATAACTAAGTAGAAGTAGGTATCGTAAGAAAATACTAATATTATAATGAAATCATTTTCAATCGACTTTAAAAAGGAGGAGACTCAGTTCGGCTGCATTTTTTTTATAATCGATTTCATTATATTTAAAATTTTAATTTGTTTATTGGCATGGTGGATGAAGTAGATAATTTTTACTCTTTCACGTAAAAATTACTCAACAAACTTTGATGAAATTTTACAGTACTATAGCTTATATATAAGAGTAGCATATAGGCTATAATATTTTAAAGATATATTATTGAACAACGCGAAGCCGCGGGAAAACGCTAGTATAATATATACCTATTTCGTTAGTACCGTAGCGTGAAGCACTAATAACTTTGTGGTAACAAAAAACTATAACAGGCCAAAATACATCTTCAACAATTTAATTGATCATGAAGTAAGAAAATTAAAAGCTACATTCGAATATTAATTAATACATTAAAATCGATACCACAAGTAATTGAAACAGAGAATGTGCTCGTTAGAAATTACAACGTCACTCAGAGATTGGTTCCGTCCCGATATATTACAAAAATCGATGAGAAGATAATTAACAAGTTTACTTTCAAACCGTTTTAGTTAATCCATTTATTCATAACGTGTGGTTCTTGAGACGTTATTTTCTTAAATTAGGATATCTATATGTTATTATTAATTCTTAGGGTTATTTTTTTTTAAATATAACCTTTTTTAAATATATGAAATAATAAAATATTGAAAAAGTTTTATAATATTAAATGAACTAGAATTATTATGGCCTGCTTCGAAAATGATTTCAATATGTATGTACAAACATACATGTCAAAATAAATTTTATTAAAATAAGTTTAAGCATAACTTTATGATGACGTTCTCCTGACCGATTCCGGCCACGGCGGCCAATCTCATTGAGACTAGCCAATATATAAATATTATAGTGCACAAAGTGTACGCGCAGACACAAGTGCACTCTCTATTCCTGTCACTCTCATACTCCGGTGGGACGACTGCTCGACACGACCAGTGAAAGTTAAGGCGCAGTACCGACGGCTTTACGTGCTCTCCGAGGCGAGGGGTGAAACACCGCCAACTTCCCAACTCCGGGCTGTTACTGAGGCTTACTATACAGAAAGACTCAATAACTAAACTTGGCCCGACCCGGGACCCGAACCCAGGACCTCCGGATGTGCAGCCGTACATGCTAGCCACTACACCACCGAGACAGTTAATAATAACTATATAGTTGATACTTAAGGCCATACTTTTGATACCTCGGCTATTCATCGACATTTAAAAAGTTTTATAAAGGCAGTGTTAAGTGTAATCGTTAGAAATAAAACACAACGCAGGAATATTTAATACATTTTAGCAAAATTGTGGCTTCTACCTTGCCAGACACGTAAATTAAACTTAATAAATATGGCGATACTACACCGCATATAATAATGTTTTGTACAAATAACTCCACGGATCTCTACAACAAGGTGGATAATAAAAAGGTCAGATTGACGGACAAATTGAAAGGCATCAATATAGTGTAGTTATTATACGTAATTGAATACTCACGTTAGAAAGTGATGGTGTGAAGTTTCTGTAATTATTTCTTGGATCATAACCTGTGATAAGGCGTAATCGGTTTAATATTCGACATTACACGAGAATAACTTATTGGGCAAGTGCTAATGTTAGACGATCTATCGACGCGACGGCTGTCTTCTTCAGATAAAATCAACTATGAATATGATATACTAGTTATATGCTAATGGGTAATTCAAACTGAGCAAGCTTTGCAATTTATTTTAATCTTATATAAGATCATATTTAGATATGGCAATCTTGCATTTACTAATAATGATTTTAAATAGAAATATTAATTTAGCTTTTGTAAAATAGGTTTTCGAAATTTTTTTTAAAATGTAATGAAGAAATATGTATGTATTTATTGCCCCGTTTATCTCAAATTGTCCTCGACCAAGAATGAAGAGTTAAAGAAATAGAGATTGCACTTGTGTTGCACAAACTTGATCTGCGTTGGCTAGTCTCATTGAAACTAGCTGCCATCGCAGAAATCGATTAGGTGTCGATTAATCTTGGCATACTATCTAAAAAGAAAAAGGTTGTAAAAACATTTTATTTTTACTACAGAATAGTTTTTCACTGCTGGCCTCTCTACCCATACACGTGTGATTTTAAAATTGTTGAACTATAACTAAGTACTAAGAGCTATTTCTCAACGTAATATTAACTAGATCAGTTAATTTTCTAAAGCACATTTTAAAATTTATTTTACACTATAGTGTCATATGTCTTAAAGAATTTATATTAGTACGCCTACGCTTAATAAGTGGTGTACAGATAAAGAGGAGAGGACGCATGAAGTAACAAACAGTCTCGGTTCCAAGTTTATTGTGTCCAATTAATATTCAAGACGCACGTGCTACTCGCTGAGAGTAGTGTAGATGTTCGACAAGACATCACTAACTAACTTTTATTATTACTAACGTCGTTTTTATAGTGTGTAGTGAGAAATTACTATGTTTTTTACTAAGTACTTCTAGTTCCCCATATGTTATTGTTGCTGAACGGTCACAGTTTTAGTAGAACTTAATTTTCTACCTTTGGCGCTAGTACACGATATAGTTCTACAATCTTTATTGAATAGTTTATAAATTACATCCAAAAAACAAATTAACTCGCTTTTTAGTAAGATATAATATGTCATTCCCGTATATATTTTTCTCGAGAAGTATATGCGTGGTAAAATGATATTAAATATATTTGTTCATTGTTTTATGAAATTATTACTTAGTTATTACATTCAATTCCGTCCGCGTCTAGAATTCTATTTTTAAACAAAACATACAGTTTTATGTTATCTTTATATATATAATTCTTCTGTGAGTGTGTATGTCACTGAACTTCTCTCAAACGACTGGACCGATTTTGATGAATTTTTTTGTGTGTGTTCAAGGGGATCTAGGAATGGTTTAGATTCACAATTTGAATAATAATTTTCATCAAAAAAATTATTAAAAAAAGTTTGAAATTTTCAAATTAAAGACGTGTAGACAGGACAACGTCTGTCGGGTCCGCTAGTGTTATATAAATTCATGTTCAAGCTCTTTGCCTTCTTAATATAGAGAAAAATATATAAACTTTGTGAATTAAATTAATATCCCTTTGAAACGAAGTTCCTTAACAGTTGACTGGTAGAAATCGTAACATAACGAAAAAGCGTTACGAGACGTTCGGTTCCGTCCGGCGCAGTTCGGGTGTTATCGTCAAGTCGTTACGTGTTAGTTAAATGTAGTCTATAGTATACTCCCGTTAAATAAAATCGTTTTTCATTATCTAACAATTTTATTAAAGGTGAGCTACGAGTAGGTACATTGTTCGATTATTAATTGCTAATAAATAAATATTTTTTCCTAAAATATTTGAAGAAGTCCTTTGATTTTATTCCTTTCTTTGCAATATTACATTGAAAAAGTGATAGAAATAAAAATTAACAGAGAGAGGAGAAGAGAAAGAAACCTAAAGTCGCATGGAGGAGACAACACTTTATCCTCAAGTCACGAAAAAAAATGTATAATCAAAATACTCACATTAAATTTCATTCAGATTTGAAGAATAGTCGTGAGGAAATTCGTTTCTGGCGGGAGTCCCCCGATCGCACACCTTTTAATTTTTAAGATATTTCCATGAAAATTTGTCTAAGATAAATTTTATCTTTATTTTCCTTATTTATATATACAGACAACATTGCCTGTATCCATGTACTCATTATTGCAAACCGTATCTCAAAAGTTTGTTCTGTGAAGCTCTAAAATGTCTCACGTCTACTCACTAATCGCGTGCATATATCATATTAGGTGCACTACCTACGTGCACTGCAAATTACTTCAAGAAGATATGTATTTTAAATACAATAACAAAAGCATGTTTTATAACGTATATAATATATTTGTATATATTTGTTAAAAATAACAAAAGTTTGAAATATCCTTTCTTGGACTTACATAACAGTTTCGGTCTCTTGCTATTTCTAGACACATGTTAAAATCTAATGAACAATTAATTTTTCCAATAGACGAACTAGCAACTATAATAATTAATTAATAAAAAGTATCTGAAATGCCATCCTTTCTTTTCTTTCTTCCATTTTAATCATTTAAAATTTTTCCGTAAGTCTTTTAGTATCAATTTATTAGTAAATAACAATTATTCTATTAAAAATGATAAAAGTCATACATCTATATATTATTTATGTATGTACCTATTACTTTAATACATAACTAGCATTGTCCGCGGCCTCGCCCGCGTTCAGGTGACCAAAAACCAAATTCTTAGGTTTTACATATTAGTATACTCTACACACTCTACTACATTGCGGTTTTTGTATTTTTTCTCAGAAATGAGATATTTTCCCGCGGTAAAAAGTATCCTATATGTTGACCCGGATAACCAGCTATTACCATACCAAATTTAATCAAAAT